ATAAATCGCCGGCGCGATTGCCAACGGGGAGCTTTAGTTGCCGGTTATTGAGGAAAGACGCAAATGCGTTCAGCCCACTGTCACGCCGTAACTAACCCACATTTGGCGATGCTGAGGCTTCACATTTCAGTGTGGCAGCTTGGCGCCCTGCCGCACTGATGGTGGGCCCTTGGCTGATGCGCCTGTTCGGAGCGCTTGTCTTTGTCCCCGCCTTTTTGGGGGTTGCGGAATGCGCAATGAGCATGAGTTGTTTCTTATTCCTTGACCGCCGTACCAATCAGTTGGCAGGACCTTGACCAGGTCTTTTGCAATCGATATTGGGCGAACACTTGAGAGCCCCTGAGAGGGTCCTGCCATAGAACTGCGGAAAGCACATGGGCGTGTGAATGGGCGCCATGACAGCCAACTGACTCCCAATAAACTTTCTGGACATGGGTGGCTTCCTTTTGCTCTCCTTTCAACCGACCCCCCCCCCGGCCAAAAAAACAAACGTGCACACAAGTACCCTCTCAAAATTTTACACCCAGATCCTGCCCGCTGGGGTGTTCGAAGGTAAATAAGGGACCGACCAACCAGCCAACCGAACGAGAATTCATTCCTTTATGAATGTTGCTTCCCAAAGCTCAACTCGGTCAGTCATAAGAGTAGGGGCTTTCCCCCAAAAGCCATCAAAGTGGCGTCGAATTCCCACAAAGGTGGTTTAGATGGGGTTTCCACCAAAAGCCCAGTTTGAGAACCCTGAAAAACGGCTCGCCAAGAAATTGTGGCGGTTTCAAAGCAACCCAAGGTTGGCCTTGGAGCCTTGGATGGGAAACACCTTCAGGTCTGTGGACCGGACCCGGGCCTTGTGAGGGCCCATTGGAAGGAGCAGCCTCAAGAGTTTGGCGCACGGCTCGTGGCTTGCAAGCCAAAAGTTCCTTCTCAGGTGACCCCAAGCCCCCGTCGCTTTCACGTGCCTGGTGTTTGGCTGGATGGATCATTCTTGTTCTAGGCATCATTTCTGTTGGCGCCTCCCTTCGTTTGTTGCAATCGGCCCGTGCAACCGGGCAAATCCAACTGCGGATTCGGAATTTGGAACAATACTGCGGCAAACTGCTGCGTGGATGGGCTGGTTTTATTTGTGCCAAAACATCTGGCCTGGGGAGCCTTCAGCCGGATCAGGCCCGAAACCACCAACATCCACCAACTACCCCCCAAAAACCCACGGCACCTGTGACCTTGTTGCTGATCACATATTTTAAGCACGACCTTTCCTGACAGGATCCTTGGAGTCTGGCCTGCGCTCAGTTGCCTCTTGCACTCACATGATGAAGGGACCTCTTAGAACAAGCAAGGCAGCCAAAATTTGAGGAGGTGCATCGCCTCTTTTGTTGCGTACTCTGCCCAAAGCGTGGCCTCTGCGCGCCGAGTGGCTGAGCTCTCCTCGACTGACTCCAGCACCGCCCTGAAGCTCAAGCCGCGCAAGCACATCCTTCCACTCAAAAGCCAGGGACTCTCCCAATACCCTGAGCTGTTTTCAAGGTAGCGGACTACCCCCAGCCTTAAGGTAGGGTATCAACCCCTGACTCAAAACGGATGCGACTCCCGCGATCGACTTTCCATCGGGCGCCGATCCATCAGCCTCTTCAGGAAGCCCTGCTGAAAGTGCACCTTCGCTTGCAAAATTCAGCGCAGGGCGCCCGAAAACTGGGCTCGGTTCTCTTGATTTGTATCAGACATTGGTCAAACCCAGGGTTTTAGCTCAGATTTCGTCCTACACAAATTTGCTGCATCAGAAATTGTGAAACCCACTTTTTAGCGCAGGCTTCTGCCCGGTACACATTTGGATCTCGGGCCATCAGATCATCAAGCCTCAAGTGTGCGACGATCCAACTCTCCTGGAAACGTGGACACAAAGCGTTCCAAGCGAAGCCGTTGCTGGCGCAAAACGACCAACCCCCACCCATTCAAACCCGAGCAAACTTGACCAACCCAACCAAACCCAACCAAACTCAGCCAACCGCAACCGCACCCAACCAAACTCAAATCAACCAAATCCAAACCTAAATAAACCCAGCCATCCCAAACCCGCTCTCTGACCAAGAATTCCACGTGACGCACCTCTCGCACACCTGGCCTGCGCTGGTGCAGTGCTCACCGGCTGGGCATCTGTCGGAGTGGTCGTGGGAGAAAAACCGGAGGGCACATCGATGAACGTGTTCCTGGGCACAATGGCGACTCAGGGGGGCACTCATTAATCTCAACAAACCCTATAGATTTTGACGTGGAAGACAATATTTTTTTACCCATGTTAGATTGGCAGAGAAACATGCTGAAGAGCAAATGGAACCAGACCGACAGGGAGTTGCCACGAACCCCAAGCGCAATCGGCCGCTGCATGGATCTCATTCGCGTTACCTCCCTGTTTCTCTAGCCTTCCTGTGCCATGTATGCTCGTGCTTTTGCTTTGTCCTCGGTGTCTTTGTGCCCCAATGTCTCTGTGTGTGTGTGTGCGCCCATGTGCATTTCAGTGTCTAAGGGATTGTTGAGAACTCAGGCACCGGCTTCACTGGCAAAGGCACACCAGCCTGGCACGCCGGTCAAAACAAATATGCACACAAGAAAGAATGTGTTCAACTTGTTCCAGTTGGTGACAAGCTGGCGCCTTTTGAAAAAAAGCTTACCCATACTCACATTCTTGTCATTGGCAAAGGGGTCGCTTCACTCCCGTTCACGAGACTGTGACAAACCCATGATTTACAAGGCGGCCTACAGCAAACGTCACAGCTGAGAAGCACCTTCTCACTCAATAATTATGAGCTCGAGCAAAATACCCCTGGTGAAGCTGGTATTATCTTTGTGGGGCATCACTGCTGTCCAACTGGAAAGCCTTGTTCAAGGGCCGCCACTAGGCTTCCAGGATGAACTGCAGTGTTGTTTTTGACAACCGGCCGATAGCGGCCTGATAGCCCTAGGACCCCGATCTGAGATACGCGAAAGGTGGCATGTAGTCAGATACGAAATCTGATGCTCCATCGAAGCCAGCCGTTTCTTCCCCTACTGTGTTTGGGGTAAAGCTCCTGGGCAAATCAGAAAGCTGTAGGCCCTTGCCTCCCCCAAACCAAACCAATAAGCCCATGTGGCACCCAACCACGAGCTTGCCGGGGCAGAGAGACACATTCGGGGCCCGTGGGGGTTTGGAGCAGTCCGTGCACGTGGGAATTGGGGTTGCGCGCATTGGTCTCCCCGATGGCCGACTGATTCGTCAGCTCGCCCGTGGCTTCACCTCAGAAGTTCCAGCCCTCGGTTTCGTTTCTCCGACCCCCCCCTTCCCCCAGGCCCAGGTCGGTGGTCTCCCGGAAACCCTCCGAAACCTCAATCCTCCCTGAAAGCTGCTCCAAACCATCCCAGAGCCCAGAGACCCCACAGCTTTCAGCTGGTGGGGGACAAAAACGGATTCCAACCCAATTTCGAGCCCCTGAGGAGGGAATCCCATGCTTCGGGCCATGATACCATCATGTCTTTACCAGGGAAAATCTTCCACCCAGCTGTAGTTGCAGAAAGCCCCGATCATTTCCAACAAAAGCGGCGTCACAAGGCAAATCCGGTGTTGGCAGCTGCATGCTCTTCACCAACTGGACAAAACGATCAAACAAGTGCGGCTGAAATTGGTCAGCATCTGTTGGTCAGCATTGTTTGCTGAGGGCCTCTCAACAACAAGAAGCGTTCAGCCTCTGCTCTATTGGGTTTTTTAAAGCAGTGGACCCTTACAAATTGGTTTACTTGGTTGCCCTCAACACCCTCATATAATCCCCCGGTTTCTCGGGACGAAAGTACACCAAGAAAATGTGTCGACTCTTCGTTAAAAGACTGATAGCAGAATGACATCCGCAAGAAGGTAACTGTCAATCCAGCAATCAGAAGTTGAGGCCTACTACTTCCCAGCATCTGTGGGAAGCCACTGGAAAAAGGGATTCGGAAGCTGGAACAAGGGCGGCACAAAGGTAACTTGACTCTGGCGACCTGAGGCTGGCCGAGCCGCTCTTGTGGCCCAAAGCTGCATCGGTCAACGGCACAGGCCGCTTGGCCGGCATAGCAAAACCTGGCTCCGAGCGCACCCCGTTTTAGCTTTTGTTAGGGAAAATGTGGAACAGTTGGCAGGCTCTCTTTACACTATGATAAGTATTGTTTTTCCTTTGATAAGGCTCCCTGTTTCTTGTGCAGGGCGTCAGTTTGGAGCCTTCCAGAAATACGCTAGGATACGCTAGGGCTCCGTTTAGCTGAGGCCTTACCCTGAACCAAACCGTCGATTCCTTTTACGGTATGGAACACCTGGGCGGCAATTGCTATCATCCAAACCCCCGTCCCTGTGGTTCCCTTCGGGGCACGCTGAGATTTACGGGCTAGCTAGTTTGCTCCTTGAGGAGCTAACTAGCTTCGGCTTGCTCGCTGCTTAAACGGCTAGCTAGTTCGCCGGTTGGCCCTCAAACACAGCCTCAAAGCGGCACACCGCGCCTCACGCCTTGAACTGGTCAGCCTGCGAGCTGAACGCCCCCCGGAGTGTTGAGGTTGCCATCAAAAAAAAACAGTTCTACCCCAAAGGGATACCCGGCCAGCAGAAAACAGAACATGGACATGCAGCGCCCCCAAAGTTTGCCACGTTGGTATTACAGAAATGCTAGTTTTCCAACAACCATGTCCTGTTTTCTGCATTTCTAGTTGCTTGCGTGTGCCCTCCTTCCCATTTGCTGGTTGGCTTTTGGGGTCCCTTTGATGGCCTTTGCATTTGCAAGCGGTGTTCAAACGAAATGCGTGCATTCATTTCCACAAGCTGGACTCCACGCAGCTGCATTCGTGTGCGTTGTTCCTAAGAAGTCAAGCACCAGGCACCCCACTTTTTTCAAGCAGGGTGTGTTTTTGTCACCCAACGGGTGGATGAGGGAAATGGGTGCCACGAAATAAACACAGGTGCCTTGCTTTTGGTTGCCCTCATGGCTGTAGCAAATGAGCCCCTTCTTTGATACCAACAGCGCCCACTGCAGCCTAACTGGTCGGATCTGGCCTGAACAATTCACAGGCCATGACCCAGCAAAGGCCAAGTAACCCTATGTAAGCTGAAAACGGCGATGGGGCGCACGCAAAGCGACATGCACTTGCACAAGCCGGCTTCGTGCGCACTGGAGTGAACTTGTCCGGTAGGAATTTGAGGCGCCAGCACAAGTCCAAAAAAACACAAGACTTCCGCCTAGTTGACAATGGTAAAGGCGAACGTAAATGCAAAACACACACCAACAAAAAAATGTGTGCCTACGCAACAAGACCCTCCGCACCTGCAACGCTAGCCTGCAAAAGTTATTGATCCTACCCTCCAACAGCGGCTCCAACAGAACCTTGTACTGTGGCGGGGTCATATGGCGTGCTGTGGCCGGGTGCGCTTGAAGAGCGTGACGGAGGTTGCGCGAGGCGATGTTGCAGGGAGGCCATGCAGCGTTCCATCATCAAAGGAGTTCAGGGTTCTGCTAAGGAATGTAGTTTGACTTCTGCGGCGCAGGGTGGTGTTGCAAAGTGTGTCGGGGATGGATGGGTGAAGCACCTCCCAACACAATTCCTGAATGTTGGTATCGAGTCCACAGTCCCGTATTTTTGCGATTGAAGTGAGATTCCTGGCGCACTTGCTTTCGCGCTTGCAGACGGCGCTGTGCCGGTGGGATTTTGTCCCTGAGCGTTGCCCGATGGTGGCCGTGTTGTTGGGACTGTGCTTCCGGGATGGGACCCATGAAGCATTTCTGCACCGCTCGCATGAGGTAGAAACCCAACTGGGCTGAAACGCAAAACAACCTAGTGCTTTTGCGTAACAAACGGCATGGCATGAAACTAGATTGACTCCTCACCTCACCCCATAGAACCCATACCAATCGAACCTTTGGCCCAAAAGCAAGACGCTTTCAAACACCTGAACATGGAGGCAATTCCCTCTGCACTTGGAGGGATCGGAGGGATTCCTATCCAAGCGGCAATGTACAAACGAGTCATTGGTTCCTCCGCAGCGCTGATGAAGGTCTCTTCCAAGAGTTCCAAAAGTTGACAAAAAGGCTTCAAACCAAGCGCCCCGCGCCTTCAGTCGAGCGTCGATCCGTGAAAGCTCTGTGATTCCAGGCGCCACATATTGCCACATGGTAATTATATACTCCCTGTAAACAACATGCAACCCAACAAACAAGCACTTGTAGAAGAAGCTCCGTACAGACCCTCTTGGGAACTCCGGTTTGAATTGGCGATGCCTTTCTGAAAGTCTGCCAAAGGCGTCAGCTTCCCTTGACACATCTTAAAAGTGAGCGTCCCCCGTCTTGGCAACACACTCCATGCATAAAGGCCGCTGCTTTGAGGTGCCCATGTGCCCATTTACCTTTGCCCAATCCAGGAATTGCTCCTTTTTGCACTTGCCACCCTCAGAATCTGTACAGTTGCATGCGCCTTCTGAAGCTTCTGCATGAATGATCTGGTTGACAAGCATGGCAGCATGTCCCTTCATCATCAGCGGCTGGCACTCCTGTCGTCACCTACAATGGGCGAAGCCAGCAACGAAACACAAAGCAGCTCAGGCTGATTCCGAGTCAAGGAGAGAAGCACAAAAAACAATAAGACCAAAATTGCAAAACTGCAAAGACTGGCAGGTCACTGCGATGTTGTCTCACCTGTTCTAGCTCCCGTTCTGCGGGGATTTCAATCTCGCGGATGTCAGCAGGAATGACCGGCAGCATCTGCAAGAACTCCTTCAAAAACTCTTGAGCCTTGCGCAGTTCGCCTTGGCTGCAATGTCCGGGTGGCCTGGTGTGGCCCCAAACTGGTCTCTGGTATATGTAGAGATCGCACTGCATCTGCAAGCACTCCTCCAAGAACTTCTGCGCCTGCGGCAGGTCACCTGCTTGTCTGCACGAGCGTCCTAGCTCAAACAATGCGGATGCAATTTCAAAATAGATGATGTTGCCGTGAAGGCCGCGCTGCATCTGCGAGCACTCCTTCAAGAACTTCTGCGCCTGCGGCAGGTCAGCGGCTTGTGTGCACAAGCATCCCAGCTCGAACAATACGGCTGCAATGTCCAAATGGATAGTGTTGCCGTGAAGGGCATGCTGCATCTGCAAGCACTCCTCCAAGAATTCCTGCGCCTGCGGCAGGTCGCCAGCTTGTCGGCACAAGCATCCCAGCTCGAACAATGCGGATGCAATGTCCAAATGGTTGTTGTTGACATGAAGGCCGCGCTGCATCTGCAAGCACTCCTCCAAGAACTTCTGCGCCTGCGGCAGGTCACCTTTCGTCGGCACACGCATCCCACCTCAAACAATACGGCTGCAATGTCCAAATGGATAGTGTTGCCGTGAAGGCAAGCTGCATCTGCAAGCACTCCTCCAAGAATTCCTGCGCCTGCGGCAGGTCGCCAGCTTGTCGGCACAAGCATCCCAGCTCGAACAATGCGGATGCAATGTCCAAATGGTTGTTGTTGTTGTCGTGAAGGAGGCCGCGCTGCATCTGCAAGCACTCCTCCATGAACTTCTGCGCCGCGGCAGGTCACCTGCTTGTCTGCACCTGCAATATCCAAATGGTGGGTGTTGCCATGAAGGCCACGCTGCATCTGCAAGCACTCCTTCAAGAGCCCCTGCGCCTGCAGCAGGTCACCTGCCTGTCTGCACGAGCGTCCCAGCTCAAACAATGCGGCTGCAGCGTCCAATTTGTTGGTGTTGCCGTGCCCGCCATAGTGCATAATCAAGCCTTTCCAGCTCGAACCGTGCGGCTGCAAGAAATGGGTCGCTGGTAGGCTCGGTGCGGCAGTGCCACTCCAGCAAGTACTCCTCCAAGCGCTCTGGTTGCGGGACGGGTTCCTGCAAGTGCTTCTTGCCACGAATCAAGGTATCTAGCAACATCTAGCAACATAAGTACGACAGGTTGAGGTGCAAAACATGTGTTACTGTGTTAAACAATGACACCAAAAAACACAGGAAAAGCGCTAATCTCTTTTTGCCTTGGAGTTGCACGATTTTCCTAATTGGGCCCAGTAGGCGCTTTTTTGCTCGTGGAACAGTGCTTGGGACAGATGCTCCTGTTTTTGCCTGTGCGGAAAAAACATGTTTCATCCTGCATATATGCAGCCACGCATGTCGTTGCCACTGCAGCAAGTATTGTCATTGCATCTTTTGCGTCATTGCATCTCGCTGTTTCCCTACAAACTCATTTGCTCATTTCTGAAAGCCGCTGTAACCTCCTCCCGTCCCTGACCGTCGGCTCCTTGCGCAAAGGATCCAGCACACAGCTCTTGACGTGCTCTTGCCTAGCATGGCGACATGACATGGAGGCTACGCAACTAAGCGTTTATGACCAGGGCTCGACATGAAGCCCATCTGGGAACAAATGAAAGGATCAAATCGCCGGCCAGCATCAAAGGGGAGGCGCGGGAAGGGCCGTCAGCTGTCTCACCGCTATTCTATTGTCAAAATTTGACGGCGAGGGATGCTGCCGAACTAGCTCTATAAGCGGCTTAAGCCTTACACGAAGTAGGCTTTATGAGTTGTTCTTTGCCACCAACATCACCATGGCTTCTGTTAAGAGAATGACTTTGTCGCGTAGCACCGAATTTCGTCACGCGCTTTGTTGGCACAAGTGGTTGGATAGCAGCACATTGTGAAACCACACTGCGTCTGGCATGGGCGGTCGGATAACAGGAAATTGTGTCACGCACTGAATCTGGAATGCGCGGTCGGGCAGCAGCAAATTTGGCCACGTTCTGCGTTTGGCATCAGAAGCTGAACAATTTTGTCTGGCATAAGTGGCCGTGTCCGGCCGTCGCAAACTGTTTTTGAATGGCAGAGCTCGCCGGTGGCAACGCTTTCCAGTCCTCAAGCTGTCGCCACATTCCTGGGAATGACTACAAACTTGGACAGGCAAAGAATGAAAAGCTTGACCCATTTCAGGCTAGTGAGTTGCAGGTGTGGCATGCTGACGCAAGCGCTTCCTCCTGGCAAAGCAGCAACTTCATCAAGCGAAAGGTCGGGGGTAAAAGCTGGGTCCTTGCCATAAGTAAAGCAAGCTGAAATGCTTGGATTCGGGCGTGGCCTCTCAAGAGCCCAAGCCCCCGCCTGCCGAGCGGGTCGCTGGAACTTACGATGATGTGACTTGCCCAATCTGCCTGGCCAGCACCCAACTCAGGAACTGCCCAGGACTCTTTGCCTTGACCGCCTCGTCCACTGCCGCACCCGCCAAAGCATCCGTCGTGACTAGGCGGTGCAAGAGAAAGGCCCCGGCTTGGAACTCCGGCGAATGCTCCCAGGGCTTTCTGCCCTCAGCAATTATCAATTGACAGCTACGCAAAACACCACCGCCTGCAAAATGACTAAAACGCGCTTGCAGCCTAATGGTTCAAGCTCAAAACCAAGGCTTGCCGCATATTGAAAAGAACGCAGCGTACCAAACCCAGCTCGCCGCAGAAAAAACACATCTGACGCTGCCGTCTTGACAAGCGAAGGCGCAATCTTCTCTGTTGCCAATTTCTCAAGGCAGTCTCTGAGGTTGGAAGGCAAGTTCTGCACCACGGCCTGCCAGTCCTTGCCGGGTCTTTGTTGTTCGCGTGCAGAATCAATTGCAATCTGAATCAACCTTAATGTCAGCCTGAACCAACATCCACCTTAAAAAAACACAGCTCGGCCTGAATGATGCTGTTGGTGATGATGATGCTGGTACTAGTGCTGCTGCGACTTGCCGTGGGAGTTTCTGCACTCGTAAAGGCCGCAAAACAAGCCAAAAATCGCATAAGCTACAAAAGCCACCAAAGCGATTATACAAGCCAAAGCCACAAACAGCATCACTGCCAGAAAGCCATAAAAGCCAGCAAAAGCCTCTTTTTGGTGAGTTGAACAATCAACTCAAAATTTACTTTGTGTCCTTCAAACTCACAACCCTCTAACCTTTCCCCCAAAAGATTGGACGTCTTCTATCTATCAACTGCATAAGAAGAGGATGCTTAGCCTGAAAAACAAACATCAGCCAACATGAAACAGCTTTCGCAATATAGAAAGACCAAGCATCTCAACCCGTTGGCTGTTGAACATAACCACGACATAAGGCAAGAAGTAGCAGACTCAAAAGGGCACGTGACATGTGATGCCCATGGCTACCTACCACAATCTTGGGATCCATTCCTCAGGGCTTGCTTAACCATCTTAAAACGTTGGCTAAACTTGAAGAAGCTCAAGCAGCAACATGGTCAGCCAGTCCTCAGCGAGCACGAAGCGAAGGTCTCCTTGCCGTAGCCATCCACGTGCGCATTGTTGCCCCTCAAAGACATGGAGCCGTGCAGAACTTAACTGCTCTGCTCGACTCAGGCGCTCTGCCACCAACTCGCGCACGTTGTCAGCAGTGAGCACCACACATCGCCCTGAAAGGGCTGGATGGACTGTGACGCAGGATGGGCAAAAGAACGGGATTCCGACCCGTTAAATGCATTGACTTGATGAGACAACGACTTCCTGCGCGATGCCTCCGTCACTTCTTCGATGCGAGTCACTCGTTGCACGTCAAAGCACTTTTACCAGATCCCTCGATTCGCAGCGCCGCATGTTACTGGCTAGTCACTTGATTGTTGGTTGCTTCAAGCTTGGTGCAATCGACCTGCGGCTTTTGAAGAGGCAAGTTTAGGCAAACTTCGAACACAGCATGAAAATGAACTTGCAGCGATGGCTGGATGACTAATTCCACCAGCTTCGCCTAGCTCACAAGGTCTCCAGAAGGTCTTCGGCTGCAGTCGGGCCATTGGCGCGTTGCTAGGTCAGCCAGCGCAAAACTCGTCTGGAATCATGTTTGGCTCATGGTTGGGGTGTGCTTCTGGTATTCCAAAGCTCGTTGGTCTTCGGGTAGCTGCAGCGCGACATCCTCTTTTACGTGCAAGCTTAGCCCACCTAGAGCTTTCCGCCCGAAACGCTGATAGCTGGTCAGCTCACTGACTTGAAGCTTCAGGCTGTGCTTCGTGTTGTCCTCGTTAGCAGTTTAAAACGACTCTTGAAGCGCATTTTGTTTAACCAGGCCCCCGTGTCGTTAGCAATTTGAAGCGTCTCTGAAAGCGTTTCTTTTTAAACTTGTTTGGCCATGTCACATGTCGCTAGCAATTTCAAGCAGTTCGAAGCCCGTCAAGTACCCGCACGCGTTGCCAACAAACGTAGGAACGCAGCCGAAGCGCTATTTGTGTGATGCGCATGCTTACCTGAAAGCTATGGATATTTTAGGAGCAAATGGTTTCAAAAAAACTTTAAGAGGTGCTTTAAATTCCAAGGACGTGGGCTCTGCGGAACCGCGGAAGCCTTTCCTCACAGAGCCGCCTCGGACCGCCCCGAGCCCTCGCAGAACCCTGCCCCAGCAGAACCCTCGCGGAACGCTACGGAACTGTTCCTCAGATTACCCAAGAGCCCTCGCAGAAGCGGAGCCGGCGGAACTTTCGACGGAACCTTATGCGGAACCCTTGCGGAACCCTGTGGAAATTTAGCTCAGAGCCGCCCCAGACCACCCCGAAGCCTATCTGGGCTGAGACCCCAAAACTATCAGCTGTTGGGCAAAAAGGCACTTTGAGAGACGCTTCAATTTGCCACTGAGTCCACTGACCATACCAAGTGAATTGTTCGTTACACTCAGGCGCAGTCCTGCAATCACCCAACCAGAAAGCGCAAAATCTGAAATGGCGACCCCCAAAGCGCGACTGCGCATAGGCACTTTAAGCGCTATTGGCTAGTTACTGCACGTAAACAATGATTAAAACGTTCAGGGCATAAGCAAAGTTCAACTTCAGGTTCCCTCCAGGCCAAACGGCAAAGTCGACTGCCCGCAGCTCGCTCGCCTCTCGCCAAGCCCCGTAGCTGGCGCACCATCTTCAGAAGGCCCGCTGGCACGGCAGCCTGCGGCACCGCCTGGAGCCGCGCAAAGCGCCAGGCAGACCGCAATTGCCGTAGAGCCTTGATCCAGCCCTCCAACTTGGAGCTGATCATCTCAAGGTCCTACAATGGACTTCATGCTATCCACCCGGTGGGGACTGGAACTTTTACACCAAAATGGTGGTTTCTTAATGTTTCCTATTAAGTGGTGTCTTTTCAGGAGCCCTCGCTATCCTTGGCATCAAGCTTGACAGACCTGAGAATGACCCAAATGCTTCCAGCGCCGAGATAGAACTCGAACTCCTTCATGCTGGTTCCACTCCCCTCGCTCAGCACGAGCAACCTTTTGAGTTGTTCGATTTGGTCAGCGGGTAGCGTGGAAGCATTGATGTTGCGCACAACAAAAGAGTAGATGGCCCAAATGTCTTTCTTGCTCTGCTTGAGTTGGCCGCCGGCGGACACGTCCGGCTCTCTATGGTCGACGGGCGTGTCCCGTTCCTGAAGGTCAAGTCCCGCTTCAAGCTGGAGGTCGTCTGGTAATGCAATCTCCTTGAAGCACTGTCCCAGTTCATTCAAAACCTTGCTTGCCAAGCTAGCCAAGGAATGCCTATTCGTTCTGCTTTGCTGACTGAGTTGGCTAAGGAACACCCAGGTGACTGGTGGCTGGAAAATGACAAAATGGAATGTACATTGACAACAGCGATGCTTTTGTTCCGAGGTGCCGCGAGAAAAAATAGAACAAACAACGCCTCAGGCAACGAGCACTTTCTGCGTAACCGTGGACAGCTGCGCGATGCTGTGTGCGAGCAGGCAAAGTGTGCCATTGGAGTAGCCCGTCCAACTTTCGGGGGATTACCAACGCGAGGCTTACGATGCGCCGCCGAGCATGCCCGCGCAGGAATCACGCGTCACTCCACAATTTGACAATGGGGGGTTTCTAGCAATCAGAGCAACCCAGGGATTGAGGGCTGGCCCTTCTGTAAATGGGAGCTTTTGGGAGGGATATGAACTCCCACTCGCACTGCCGGGAGCCAACCACACGCTTATAGAAACCCAGTCCGGAGTCCAAACAAACATGAGAACAAACAAACACCCGTCTACCAAGCATCTCCCAAATTCTGCCCTTCCTCACACGCAAGGCGCCGTGCGCAGTCAATAAGACGGATAGTAAGCCAAACCTGCAGTGATGCCAGAATTGCGCTCCCCCAAAGCAAGCGCCAACAGATTTTGACACAGGCATGAACAAGACAGCAAACTCCACGGTGTGGTCAGCCCCGGTCCAATCACCCAACTTAAAAGGGACACCCCATGTTCATTCGCAAAACCTCTGATGATTCCTTGCTGAGAACTAGCCAGGGAAAGGGCGGACAGTACCACTTTTGCACTTGCTCTTAAATTGCCTTCCGTGGAGGCCAAATACCACTACGGGGCGTTCACTATGGGCGACTATGGGCCTCACTGTGGCCTTGGAATTGACAATCGAGCTCTTCGAGGGTGGATTCAAGAAACAACATACTAAATTCCAGAGGTCAGATCTGGGACCGATTGAAAGCAGCGTCTCAGTACAAAATCACTACTGGCCAAAATTTCTGGGCCAGGGGCGAAACCATGTCCGTCTCTTTCCTGAGAAGCGTTTCAAACGAACAACCCGTAGAGCGCTTAGTAAGTCCCTCCGTGCAAACACGCTCAGCGTCAGAAGGGCTTTGTGCAAGTCTGATTTGTGCCATCTGTGCAACGTGTGCAAGTTGTCTCTTTGAAGGCATGCTGTCTCCAAACAGGGCTTTGAACACGCTTGTCCTTTGAAAGCCTTCTCCGGCGAAGTTTGCTCTGTGCAAGTATGCGCTGCGCAATCATAATTTGCGCAGCTGTGCTTTGTGCCATCGCGCTCTGTGCAACATCTTTGTTATGGGCAAGTGCGCCCTGCGCAAGAGGGTGCAGCACCAGCAAAGAATGATTGACCAGTCGTTGGGGAACATGCCTTTGGCCTTTTGCCGGAGTTCAGAAGCAAACATTAAGGCAGTTGCCAACTTACCGAGCAAGGCGCCTTCTCGGCATGGTCCGCCCTCACCAGATCTGGATTGTCCGATTCGTAGTAACATTTCTGACGGGCTTCCACCACTGCTCTCCAAACTGGGTCTGGAATGCAATTCAAGCCAACCCCAGAGGTGCTGGAGCTGGATTGCTGCGAAGCGATCTCGATTTGCTCTACGGCATGATCCAAGGACTTGCACCGCGCCACTTGGAGCTCTCTCGTCCAATCTGCGCGAAATAGGTACTACCTGTCATGGAAGGTTTTGCCTATCCTCCGCAGCTGTTCAATCTTGCACTGTAGATCTCCATAGAAGTTCTCATTGAAGTCAGCCTCTTCAGGCTGCTCTCCAGCTTCGTCCACTATGAAGCTTACCTCTTGGTCAACTAAAAGGTCCAAGCAGCCCCACAAGCAAAAGGACTTCCGCAAGGCAATGACATGTGCCTCCTCCAGTACCTTCACATTCTCGCGCTCCCACGGCAACTCCTTCTGCAGGCATTCAAGTGGAAACATATCGTGTAGCGCGTGAACTCCACGCAGCTCCGTCAGTTCCATTTTGAGCCGACCAACCGTTAGGTGGTGGAGCAGCGTGTCCAGCCGATTTGGGAAATCCGGGACTGAACACTTTGCCTGGGCCTGCATCAAGTAAATTAGCGCTGCTGGCACCAGGCCAGAATCTGGCAGCGTCTCACCGTACTTGCAAAAGTTCACAAACACATAGAGATTTGTTTCGTCTGGTCCCGGCACTTCTTCTGATTCGAATCTTCCGTATGCCTCGTCTCTGCAGGTGTCCAGGATTACAATGATGCAGACATGCTGCAGACCCCTCAGTTCCACCGCACGCATAATCTCGTCTTCCAACACAAAGCCACGATCCCGAATCACTGTTTGCATTTCGGACAGTGCTTGGTCATGCCCTGCACAATGCTGTTTCCCAAAACATGCTTGAAGGTTGTTGAACACCTGTTGACGTCTCCCTCTTCGTTCCCCCTTAGAAAGGTGACCTGGGTCTTGTTGCTTAAACACATGTTGCCCAACCCTCATGGCCTCCATAGTACACCAGCAACTTTTTCGTTTTGAATCTCTCCATCTGGGTCACTGCCTCTTGGATCTTGGTTCTGAGCTCCCCTTCCCTTCGCATGTCTTTTCCGCGCCAGCAAAAACAACTGGTCGCGAGGAGACCCTCAGCTCCTTGGCGAACCGGGCCAACAATTGGGCATCCTGCGCTGCGCGCTCAGCGCCCTTGCTTGTGACGCCCAAAGCAAGCACCTGCCACTCATCCTGCGATTCCTGCTCCATTGGGTCCATGTCTAAACCTACATTGTAATGCCTCTGACAAGTTGTCCTCGTGTCCGTATGTGCCTGATAACTCATGCTGAAAGTGTCTTCATGCCACCCTTGGTGCGGTACTGCCTCTACTTACATCCACAAGATTTCTCAAAAACTGACAAATAGCGCTGAATATTCTTGGGCTGTCAGTCTCGAGGCTGAAGTCAATCATGTCCACACCGCAACTGTCGCAAGCGGCTTCTGCGCATAACAAATATGTGAACCTAGCTGACTTGCTCCACGTTCACAAGGAAACCTTGTCCCAAAAAAACGGGTGGGCCCGGACCTGAAGGTCTGAAGGTGCTACTGGAGAACACGCCACAGTTTGAAACGAGCAAGGAAAAACATGAACAAACAAATTGTGCTATGCACTTAAAGGAAGTAAGCCTGCGCCTCTTCAACACACACACACATCAAACAAAAGCAGGCCAGGACACCCTGCGTGCGCTATCCAAAAAGGCGCTGGAAGCGAAGAGACAAATGCTCAAACTTGGCAACCAACAACTTGTTCCCCACAAAGTCGCTTGTCCCTATGCTCAAGCTTGCCCCCTCTTCCCGGCTTGCGCGTGGGTGAAGACCTTCTTGGAAGACTTTGCTGCGTGGAGGACTTTGCTGCGTTCCACGCTGGCACTTTGAGTCAGTCACATCGGCCGGGGGCTCCTGTGACTTAGGTGGGAGGCTTTAGGTACCAACACTAAGACCACTGAATGTTTAGGTTGGGGGTGGGCTTGAAGGGCACCACCACCGCGGACTCGGGGAACTTTCGGGCTTCCCTCTGTAGGTTGGGTTTCGGGTTTTGGGGGTCTGCTGGAGGCGCCGCCGTGTGAGCGAGCGCTCGCAGGCGGGCATTGGCGTTGGGCGTTGGGGGAGGAGGGGGGCTCGATGTGGCAGCTGGAGAAAGGCGCGGCAAAAAAAAGGCAGCCAGGCTTGCGCTAAAATAGGTTCCTCAGTTTTAACATGGACCTTTCCAACGGAAATCTGAAATACGGTGGTTTTCCGTCTGGCGTCCCCCCCTTGCTCGCGGGCAGCGGTGAGGGGACTCCACGTCAGCCGGTCAGTGTCCGGGCTCTGACGTTGGCCTGAAGTAGAACACCGAGGCATGCGTATATGTGTGTTTTCCATCGAGACGGCACTTTTTGTGTGAAACGACACTTTTGCAAGTTGAACTTGCAAGCGGCTGCTTGCAAAATCGAAACGGCAATTTTACCCGTCAAACGGCAACTTTTCCCGACCGTTGGACAGGAATTTTGTGAAACGGCAGTTTTGCAGGCAAACGGCGCTTTTTTCATGAAACCGCAAAAATATGCTTTTTTGCAAAACAGAAAAAATGTCCCTCCGGAGGTCAGCCCGTTTTCCAGCAAACCCCCAAACATATTTGAACACGAAAGAGGACCCCACAGTTACATTAAAGAGCATCCGAGCCTCTTGAAGGCGCCCCCCTTTCTGCGAATGTTTGCCCTTACTTTTGTGACTGTGTAAAGAAGTTATTTTAAATTTGGTGGTTTGCGAAGTTATGTTGGTGGCTTGGGGGCCATTTCAATAAGGAATTCCTAGTGTTTGCCCGGCTTTGTTTGCCAGACTTCTTTGGCTATTTTCTTGCTCCTGATTTTGTCCCACTTTTTTTTGTGGGATTCTTTTGAGAGGGGGGACAACTTGCCCAAGAGAGGACCCCAAAACAGCCCAACGATCCTCAATTAGGAAACACAACTTTACACAATACAATCTATGGCCATTAATTAAAGCGTGTCTAACATGATGTGCTCAACGAGGTCGAGCTATACCTTAACGACAATCTTGCGGTGGCTCGGGCTGTCTGAAAGCGGATGGGCTGCGACAAAGTAAGTGCGCGGAAAGCACCGCCCTACGCCGGTGGGCCATGCCGCCTTTTTCCAGGACCACTAAGAAGCCTCGTGGCAAGATAATGCAGATATAGGAGAAAGTAAGTAGATAGCCTAGATACCGGACACTTAGTTTGAACTTAGTAACTATGCTTTCTTCTAATAGGAAGATATTGGAGATAGAAAAAGATACAACTATATATATATATATATATATATATATATATTTTAACAAAAAGGATAAAAATAACTATATTTAAAAAAATGGATTAAACAAAACGATGAAAAAGATATATATATATATATAAAAACAAAAAACCGATAATGGAGATACAACAAGATACAAAAAAACCGCAAAAACAGATTAAACCAATGTGAGCAAGGTAAACCAGCGTGAAATAATGGAAAATAATTTGTGGGCTTTGTCGAACAAGAACGTGCGATGTGCACCTAGCACGCACTCAGGTGGAGCGTGAGATCATCGGAACAAGCGATCGGAACGATTCAAGAAGACTATGAGCGTGTGAGCTGTCTCATCTGATGGCACGTGAAACACGTGAGATGACCCTGGACAGGCTATGCTTAGTGGGGATGATGCTGGTGAAATGGTTTTGCTTCCGTCATTGTCTTACCTGCCAACCTGCCAGGCCCTCACAGGCTGGCAAACAAAGAGGGAAAGCCTGGCTTTGCAAAGAAGAGGTTTGGAGCGGGAGGCTTTTTCCACTTAGTGTGCGTCCGTTTCGGGCCGCGCGCTAGGATAAAACTAAAGTTCCCGCCGACAACGTCTGCGACGTTTCGTGGCAGGTACCAGTAGATAGATAGAGAGAGAGAGAGAGAGAGATAGATAGATAGATAGATACATAGATAGATAGATAGATAGAGAAAGATAGAGAAAGGTAAATAGATATATAGATAGATGGATAGATAGATAGTTAGACACATAGAGAAAGAGAAAGAGAAAGAGAGAGAGAGAGAAAGAGATAGAGATGTGGTTCTAGTTTCATTTATGGTTTGGAGGGGGCCGCTTGTTCATTTAGTTTGGGTAGGCAGTTTGCAGGGGGCCGGTTTTCCGTTAGTTTCGGTTGCTGGTTTGGAGGGGCCATTTGATTCATTTAGTTTTGGTTGGTAGTTTGGAGGGGCCCACTGTTTCCATTTGGTTTGGGTTGCTGGTTTGGAGGGGCCGCTTGTTTCATTTAGTTTGGGTTGGTTGTGGAGGGGCCGCTTTTTCCATTTAGTTTGGGTTGATGGTACTAATTTCACGTAATTTTCGTCGGTGGTTTGGAGGGGTCTGCTTTTCCATGTGATGTATTAGGGGGGGGGGGTTCCATTAGTTTGGGTTGCTGGTTTGGAGGGGCCGTTAGTTTCATTTAGTTTGGGTTGGTTGTGTGGAGGGGCCGCTGAATTCCATTTAGTGTGGGTTGATGGTTCTAGTTTTTTTCAATTTTCGTTATTGGTTTGGAAGGGGCCGGTTTTCCATTAGTTTCGGTTGCTTGTTTGGAGGGGCTGTTTGATGCATTTAGTTTGGGTTGGTAGTTTGGAGGAGGCTGCTTTTTCCATTTGGTTTGGGTTGATGTTTGGAGGGGCCGCTTGTTTCATTTAGTTGGCGTTGGTTGTGTGGAGGGGCCGCGTTTTCCCTTTAGTTTGGGTCGATGGTTCCAGTTTCAGGTGGTTTGGAGGGGCCGCTCTTCCATTTGCTGTAGTTTGGGTTTGTGGTTTGGAGGGGGCCGTTGTTTCATTAGTTTTGGTTGCTGGTTTGGAGGGGCCGCTTGTTTCATTTAGTTAGGGTTTGTTGTTTGGAGGGGCCGCTTGTTTCATTTAGCTTGGGTTGGTGGCAGTTACCCAAGTTGGGTCGCTCAAGTCATGCTTCTTTACTTGGGAATTTTGGCAAAACATATTAAGTCAACATCCAGGGTCCCTCGAATCCTAGTTCCTGATTTGGGGAGACCAACAAGTTCAAAAAAAAGTTCAAAACACCGGGCCCCAAAGTGATGTTTCTTTACTTGGGGAGATCAAAAAGATCAAAAGTTCAAACTCCGGGCCCCCACAGTGATGTTTCTTTACTTGGGGAGTTCAAAAAGCTCAAAGAGTTCAAAATCCTGAGTCCCAAAAGTGATGTGTCTTTACTTGGAGAGTTCAAAAAGTTCAAAATCCCGAGTCCCAACAGCGATGTTTCTTTACCTGGGGAGTTCAAACAAATCAGTCCCAAAAATGACGTTTCTTTACCTGGGGAGTTCAAAAAAAACAAAAAAAACAAATGCAGTTTTTTTTTGCGCAGTTGGTTTTTTTCAAGACCTGTCACTGGCCTGCTTGGTCGGCCTGCTGCTTTTCATTGAGTGGGATTTCTTCGTAGAGCTTCCCATTTAGCTGCCATTTTTGTTGGGTGAAGGTGGATTTTTTTCCGGGCCTGTCACTGGCCTGCTTGGTGGGCCTGCTGTTTTTCTTGAAGTTGGTTCTTTTCCATTGGGCTTCTAGTTTGCTTGTTGTCTCTAGCTGCCATGTTTTTTTGTGAAGGTGGATTTTGTTCAGGGCCTGCCACTGGCCTGCTTGGTCGGTGACAGGCCCTGAAAAATCCAACTGCGCAAAACAAAAACAAAAACTGGCAGCCACACACAACAAGCAAACTAGAAACCCAATGGAAAAAATCCCACTTCAAGAAAAGCAGCAGGACGACCAAGCAGGCCAGTGACAGGCCCTGAACAAAATCCACCTTCACCACAAAATATGGCAGCTAGAGACAACAAGCAAACTAGAAGCCCCATGGAAAAATCCAACTTCAAGAAAAGCAGCAAGCCCACCAAGCAGGCCAGTGACAGGCCCTGAAAAAAACCCACCTTCACCACAAAATATGCAGCTAGAGACAACAAGCAAACTAGAAGCCCCATGGAAAAATCCAACTTCAAGAAAAGCAGCAGGCCCACCAAGCAGGCCAGTGACAGGCCCTGCAAAAAAACCCCACCTTCACCACAAATATGGC